GTCTTGTTATCATGTATTCTCTACATCTCTACATCCTGTCTTGTTATCATGTATTCTCTACATCTCTACATCCTGTCTTGTTATCATGTATTCTCTACATCCTGTCTTGTTATCTTGTTATCATGTATTCTCTACATCATCTATTCACATCCTGTCTTGTTATATCATGTATTCTCTACATCTCTACATCCTGTCTTGTTATCATGTATTCTCTACATCTCTACATCCTGTCTTGTTATCATGTATTCTCTACATCTCTACATCCTGTCTTGTTATCATGTATTCTCTACATCTCTTGTTCCTGTCTTGTTACATCATGTATTCTCTACATCTCTACATCCTGTCCTTGTTATCATGTATTCTCTACATCTCTACATCCTGTCTTGTTATCATGTATTCTCTACATCTCTACATCCTGTCTTGTTATCATGTATTCTCTATATCTCTACATCTGTCTTGTTATCATGTATCTACATCCTGTCTTGTTATCATGTATTCTCTACATCTCTACATCCTGTCTTGTTATCATGTATTCTCTACATCTCTACATCCTGTCTTGTTATCATGTATTCTCTACATCCTCTTGTTATCATCCTGTCTTGTATCATATATCTCTTGTTATCATGTATTCTCTACATCTCTACATCCTGTCTTGTTATCATGTATTCTCTACATCTCTACATCCTGTCTTGTTATCATGTATTCTCTACATCTCTACATCCTGTCTTGTTATCATGTATTCTCTACATCCTGTCTTGTTATCATGTATTCTCTACATCCTGTCTTGTTATCATGTATTCTCTACATCCTGTCTTGTTATCATGTATTCTCTACATCCTGTCTTGTTATCATGTATTCTCTACATCCTGTCTTGTTTATCATGTATTCTCTACATCCTGTCTTGTTATCATGTATTCTCTACATCCTGTCTTGTTATCATGTATTCTCTACATCTCTACATCCTGTCTTGTTATCATGTATTCTCTACATCCTGTCTTGTTATCATGTATTCTCTACATCCTGTCTTGTTATCATGTATTCTCTACATCCTGTCTTGTTATCATGTATTCTCTACATCTCTACATCCTGTCTTGTTATCATGTATTCTCTACATCCTGTCTTGTTATCATGTATTCTCTACATCCTGTCTTGTTATCATGTATTCTCTACATCTCTACATCCTGTCTTGTTATCATGTATTCTCTACATCTCTACATCCTGTCTTGTTATCATGTATTCTCTACATCCTCTACATCCTGTCTTGTTACATCATGTATTCTATCACATCTCTACATCTCTACATCCTGTCTTGTTATCATGTATTCTCTACATCCTACATCCTGTCTTTATATCATGTATTCTCTACATCTCTACATCCTGTCTTGTTATCATGTATTCTCTACATCCTGTCTTGTTATCATGTATTCTCTACATCTCTACATCCTGTCTTGTTATCATGTATTCTCTACATCTCTACATCCTGTCTTGTTATCATGTATTCTCTACATCTCTACATCCTGTCTTGTTATCATGTATTCTCTACATCTCTACATCCTGTCTTGTTATCATGTATTCTCTACATCTCTACATCCTGTCTTGTTATCATGTATTCTCTACATCCTGTCTTGTTATCATGTATTCTCTACATCCTGTCTTTAGAAATTATAGAACACTTTATAACCTTTTTCGACCATGACAAAGTTAACGACTCAACATGATAGGGACAGTATCCATGGAGCCGTGGGTGTTCCCCACTGAGACTGCTAGTCTCTCAGTATCAATTTAAATCCTTTACTCCCCTACCCCGTGACAATCAGCTAAGGACAGTTAACAGTGGTAACATGAAGCGGAATCGATGTCACGCAGCGTCACACAGTCAGCTACAAGGTTATCATCTGTAACATAAAACCGGTCGAAAGACATTCCACTAGGCCATCAGAAGAATGAGTTTATTTCTGGACCCACTAAGAGCCTGACACACAACAGTTTAAGGATAGGAGAAAGACATGAGTATATTCAATAAATCAACGACGTTCAGACTTGTCTCTTACATTTTCTGTATGAGACGGCATCTGTTCAGGGCTTCAAGATAAAAACATTGACTCGTTGATGCCTTACTCCAAATACTTGTGGATTACTGTACTGTACTTACTCCCTTCTTTTTCTCTCTTTTTGTTTTTGTTTTTTCTCTATTATGTATACCTGTACCTTACTTTCCCTCTCTACTTTGATGTGTGAGTGCTTGGGAACAGTTAATTATTATTAATTGTTGTCACAACTATTACCAGTATTAAGTGTGTGTATGCATATATGCATGTGAATAGTATTTTATTTATAACTGTATGCTAGAACAAAATGCTAATGGTATTTGAGAGAAACATGATAACTTTTCTACACCATTAACACACGCGTGTGAGCATGTAGAGAGTCGGTAGTCAATAACCCAAGTTTAAGATGTCTCCTTTATGCCAAAGAACTGCACGGTTGTAGGGTGCACAATCGTTAACGAAGGCAGGCCGTACAGGGGACACCTTGCTGGTGGGCTTCACGTCTCTGGCCCCTTCTCCAGCATGGTTAATAAACCCTCACTACTTCCGGTCAAAATGTGACCTGTGGCCAATTTTTTTTTGCTTCTGCCAGACGGTGGCCAGTGTATTTTTGCTCCATTTGTAGACTGAAAGGATAGTTTTGTTGCCCAGATTCTGAGTTGAGTGCAAGGTGTGACACTGTGAGCTGCAGATTTCATTTCGAATGTTTTTCTACTGTGACCAACGGGGAAGGGGGGGGGGGGGGGGTGTGTGAATTGTAGATTTAGAAAATTCCTTTGTTGCAATATTGGTGGTGCCATTATGCGATTAAAATTGATCACGTGTGCAACTGCTGATCTGTTGGTGACTTCTGCTACCAACCATGATTAACTGCATTTCTAATGGTCGGACTGTTTGTGATAGCACTTCGGATGGCTGCTGTAGGCTTTTAATGCGTGTGTATACTAGTGCTTATTCTGAGACAGCAGTCTGTCAATCTCCCCACAAGGGACTGTGATAAACTTTCTGTGTGTTTTTCGTTGGCACAGAAGCGGAGCAACTATGGGGTGACCTGTTTGCTATGAAGCTGAAACTAAGATTACCAGATTACCTGATGTATTTCTTCTTATCTTAATTGGTAACTAGTCTCATTTTGTGAGCTGCCTATTTTAAGAGAGTCAGAGGTTTTTACAGTGTCTATTTCACTTTTTTTAAATGATATCAATGTCATCTGCATAGCTAAATATTCTTTTAGTTTCTTCTTTAGTACACTCTTCTTTCAGTTTCATTATAATTTTATCCAGGGCCAAGTTGAAAAGAGACAGCGGATTTAAACCACGTGTTATTTGAAAAGGGTCTGACTTTCTCCCTTTATTTTTTACTATATTATAAGTCTTCCATACATAGTTTGGTCAAGGTGATTAACTTCTTTGATATTCCAGTCTTCCTCAGCATTCCTCAAACTGTTTCATATGTACATTGTCATCTCAAATTTCAGGAAAAAAGACACTAGTCACCACACATCATCGAAATCATGTCCTAGTATTTGAGAAAGCCTGTTGTTTCACTCCCCTGCGGCATCATCATTGTTAGCATTATCATGTGCCTTGCCAGGCAATGCAGACTGATGTGTTCTTGAAAGTTTGAATGTTGATGATCTTCCATGCTGTGATGTCAATCTATGAGCATCTTCTCCCTCTTCTATCAACTCTTATCTCTCACGTAATTCTTGAACATCCCAGTTGACATAACTTTATCCAGACCTTCCTATCTCATATTGTGACTAAAACTGATAACTAGTGTCCTATTGTGGGGGCAACCATCTATCTCTGTGAACTGGGGTACTTACTCAGATAATGATTTTTCAAAACAATCTACTGGCTTCTTTTTCTGGTAGTCTATGCCATGTGTCGATGGTAATCATGTCTTGTCTGTGTTTGCCTCCAGTCTTCTGTCTTTTATACTGTCTACCTTTTCCGATACAGATGTTCTTCTATGCCATGAAGCCAAACTGTTCGCATCTTCTCTATTCGTCTTTCTGTGCATCTCTTGCCTTTTTAACTTCCTACAAAAAAGGTAAAGATAAAGTCGGGAGATGTGAACCAGTGTCATTGCACATGGTTATAAACCATAAGTGCTCTGCCACCAGAACAGACAGCTGATAAGAAACTGTCCGCCTCTATCGCCGTCCGCACGTAAATCCGTAGCTACAGCAATGTTCCTCCATTCACCTCATAGTTGACACTCTGGTACTTATTTCCTAAAGGCTGGGTGAAAACCAGGAACTGCCCGGTTTCGAACACCGACCATGTCTGCAGCGAGTCGCAGCTAGATTTGAAAGCGAGCCTCCTATTGACTGCCCTAAGGCGGCTTTTACAGTCACAGCATACCCTAATTGTTGCCCTTCTCATGAAGTACTCCAGTAATGTAGATTTGCCTCTCCTGGTGCAGAAAATCAGTTCTCTTTGTGAATTGAGTTTCTTTCTAATCTCATTATTTGATGAGCATGAGTGTAGTGCTGCTTATATAGCACAGAACAGGTAGAATACTAGAGACCTGAACAAAATAATTATTTAAAAATGTGGTTCCAGCTAGTTTTTATGTTGTGTTAACAAAGAAGTATTACAAATTTAGGTTTTCCTGTTAATTACTATGCATGAAACAATATTCTTATGGTCATGTAAAAGGGCCCGTCTCCCTGTCCGAAGTTCTGATAAAGTAAACTAGTGGAGGAAAAGTATTAAAAAACAAATCAATCTAACATGTTAGTAGACAACATCAAGTGATGGAATGGGTGACTCTTGTAAGTGCGTAGTGAAGATGTAAAACAGAACATGTTGGACCTCAGCAAGGAGATGACACTTGATGATAAGGATTCTATTGATAGAGTACTACTGATAAAGAAAGCAGGACATATTATAAATTGTAATTTGTTTACTGTTAGTCATATGTTTGCCTCTCATATGTTTGCAGTTGTTGAACACAATTAAAGAAGAAGACAAAATGCCAGAATATGATGAAGAGACCAAGAGGCTTATAGAAGGTAAGTAAAGGACCCTTTCCTTGTCTTGAGGTGTACTGGGAATATGGGGGCATATAGTTTGACTGCATCCCTTATTGTAATACCATAGCGAAGCCATCTGTGATTAATGTTCAAAGGTTAGTTTCTTGAATATGAGGAGTTAGTTTATCTATCCTCTTGAAACCAAGGCAGCACCTAGAGCAGAGGTGATAGCTCTCCATGTCTGGCGGTTCGTTGCCACCTGTTTTAGGTATTGGATGTTTGTTAGGCCCATGGTTGAACCTTCCCTGATGATGGTTCTACGTAGAGTCTCTCTTGATCTTTCCTGTTTTCTTTTCCCTTCTGATGAGAGCTTGATGGAGAAGTCTTGTCTTATCCATTCTGAGTGCAAATAAAAAGTGAGAGTTTATTTTTTTAATGCTGTGTCTGACACTTGTAGAGCTGCATGTGTCAGATATCCATAAATGCATAGGTATTTTGTATGTTGCAGAAAAGACGAGAACCTATTTTTTTTTTTTTTTGCTTTGTCATTTGAACCTAATTCATGAGATATTAAAATGATTCAGATGTATTAAATAGAAAATATTTCAATGTCACAGTGGCTGATGAAGCACGGCGGAAGTTTGAGGATGCAGATAACAAGCTCAGAGAACTGGAAAATGAAATCAAGTGAGTTTGGATTAGAAGTGTGCCAACAGAAAACAAAATCAGCAGTTTCAGAACTATTAGAGAGTGATGATCTTGCTTGACATGAAATGTCTGATTAACTCAGCATCACAGTCGAATTGATGCAGCTGCTTTTTATCTGTGTTTGGGAGACATGAATGGAGAACATGCCTGTCCATCATTATTTTAAATATCTTTCTTGCACAGGGTCCCAGTTTTGCACCATGTCCCTATGTTATTTTATCTGTCTCCTGCATGAGAGTGTGTTTTTGCAGCTGGTTTATAGAATATTCCAGTGAAATGTCAAATCAATCCTACAGGCTTTCATAATGTATATAGAATTCAAATTATTACAGTTTTTCTTTCATGTCTAGGATTTTGATTATATATTTTAGTAAGTACTGACAGTGTCACTCACTATGTTAGATGCACATTATATGTTAAACAAAGACTACATTAACAGTTGGTTTTATTAATTCATTCATTCTAGATCCCCTATTATCGTTGACTTCCTGTCAGTATAGTGAATAGGCTGACTTACTGTTTTAGTTTTGGCAAGTTTTTGTTTCTGACAATAGTTAGTCATTACATTTTCCTTCTTATGTTAACTGAAAGGTTCTAGTTCCGTTGATCTGAAACTGTAAGCTGCAGATTTCATTAAGTATACTTCATGTGGTTTATATTGTAAACTGCAGATTCAGAAAATAGCGGGTGGCATGTTGCCAGAGAACTGGTGGTGCCTTGTGTGATAAATTGCATGTGCAACTGCTGATCTTCCAACAATGATGAACTGTATCACTAGTGCTGGACTATTGTGTTGGCAGTTCTGACTGATGCCTTATGCATTTAATGCCTGTGTATGTTAATAGCTTTGCTGAGACTGCAGTCAGTGTCCATTTTTGTTTTCACAAAGGAGGGTGATGGACATTCTCTGTGGTTTTCTTTGGCACAGGAACAGAGAACTATGGGGTCACCTGTTTGCATTGAAGTTGCAACCATGATTAACTGATTACTTGTCATTGGCTATGTACGTCACATATCCCTGTAGCTACACATTTTCTTGTAAACATTTATGTTACATCACTTCTCTTCACTGTCTCTGTCTCTCTGTCACTGTATGTATTTATATAAATATATATATATATATTATTATATATATATAATATATATATATATATATACATATATATATATATATATATATATACATATATATATATATATACATATATCTATATATATACATATATATATATATATATATATATATATATATATATATATATATATATATATATATATGTGTGTGTGTGTGTGTGTGTGTGCGCGCATTTGTCCTTGATTCACTCCAGTTTTAGGATTGGTTTCACTATACATATATATAATCTATTCTTATAGAGACATCACAGCTCTCGTTATGTCTGCATAGAGTATTTTAACAGATGGGGATTTTGTTGGTGTTGACGGGGTTGAGAAAACTGAAAGTAGGGTGTTTGTAGTTGTTTGATGTTTTGGGGTTATAAGATGATTTGCACCCCACATAGGTTGAGGGGTCCCATTTAAGAGAAGGGGGTGGGGAAAGAGCCACTGCCCTGTTAACATGCATGTCATAAAAGGCTCCAAACTAAGGGTAAACATATCTGTAAACAGCAACACCACCTGCCAACCGCCCATTTAAGAGTGAATGGGGGAAAAGAAACGAGTCACAACTTTCATTTCTAATTGAACATCCATTCTCTTGCTGATTACAGCGCCATCAAGAAGTACCTTGAACTAGACCTTGGACCACAGGAAGAATTCTCTGCTTTGAAAGGTCAATGCTTCGAGTACACAGAGAGGGAGTACACATATATACTGTGTCCCTTTGACAAAACTTCACAGAAACCTAAAGGTGGAGGCATTGAGACCAGTTTAGGGTAAGCTATGTCATGTTTTTTTTTTCTGGGTTTTTTCTTTCTTGGTCATGTCCAAGACAGGTAGACCAGTTTAGAATAACCTCTGTCACTTTTTGTTGTTGTTCATGGCAAAGACTGTTTCAGGATCAGTTTTTGCACCTAATTTTGTTGTTAATGGTATAGACTGGTAGACCAGTTAGGGGTAAGCTCCGTCTTTTATTTGTTTGTGGCAAAGTCTTAGGGTAAACTCCATCACTTATTTTTTTTTTTTTTTCAAAGCAAAGTCTATGAAACCCATGTAGGGTAGGTTCTGTCATTTATTTCTTGATCATGGCAAAGTCCGAAATAATTTAGTGCAAGTTCTGTCACTGTTTTGTTATTTATGGCAAAGTCTAGGAGATCAATTTAGGGTGAGATCTGTCATTTTTTATGTTGTTGTTCATAGTGAAGTCTGGGAGACCATACCATTTCCAGCCATGAAATGAAGCTTACTTGATCAAACATATTACGATGAAAAATTTGTATGAAGGTGTTTGCCACAAACCCAAATGCTAGCTTCAGTGCATTGAATATATGAACAAAATGGGTTAATTGGTAAAGCTGTGAAAATGTAAAAAAAATATAAAAATAAACATAAAGTATGACCAACTGTTCACAATTACAATTACTGTAAACAATAAAAAGAATGTTGCGGTGACTGACCTTAATTAGCAAAAAAGTGACACTAGAAATAAAACAAAGTATACATCATAAGGACCTTCTCTGTTTTATGTTTTGTTTCTCATTGTATGCTGATGCTAGCTTGTCACTGCAGCATTTTTTGTTTGTTTATAGTAACCTTACAAAGCTTGCCCATACTGTGTGCTTTTCCATCTTTAACACGGCTTTGTTGTGTCAATAAACGCTAAAGTTACTTGGAGTTTTAACAACTTGTCTTATTTGTAGGCTTTATACTTAATGTGGGTAAGTGTTGCTAGTGAATGGATAACACTTGAAATGTGTCTGTAAAAGCAATAAGAAATGTTTGCTTCTTTCTTTTAAGTTTTCTTCTCATTGAGCCAGCTTATATTAGCTTTTTGGTTTAATTGTGCTCTTTATATAGAAGTAATTTTTTTGTTTTTAAAACTCTTTTACTATTTTAGCTTTTTATATGGGCCATGTCTTTACCGCTCAAATAGTTTTGTTAATTTTTTAAAATAATAATTCCACAAAACAATTCAGTCAGGTTGACAACAGACTGTTTTGTGCACTTTGATTTCACAACTGCTGTGATGAAAAATAAAATTCAGAGTAACTAATAAGAGAAGTGGAGCAGTGAAAATGTATGTTTTCATTTGGCATATTAGATTAGATATCCAGATGTATCATGTGTGTGTGTTTGTGTGAGTGTGCACAAGAGCGAGAGAGAGAGATGCGGACTCCTGCCTTATTTGAAGTTTACTACGAAAATAATTTTTAGTGTATGAAATAATAATTAATTGGACAAAACTGGGAATTGCTTGAAAACTAATGTTCCGTATAAGTATATAGGATCAAGACTATTGTACTGATAGATAATATTTATGTGTGGCGTTCTTTCAGGGTCTGGGGCCACTGGTATGGTCCAGAAGAGGATAAATATGATGCCATGAAGTATGAAAATGGTCAAGGCTGTTGGAATGGGCCTAGTCGTTCATGTCATGTAAGTGTATATATGCTTGTATGTGGCATTCACTCATTGACTTCCTATAGCCCTTGCTGTGTGGCATTGGTGATCATGTCTGTCTACTACAGCCCTCTGTCTTGTCTACTGTCAGTTATTTATAATGTACTAAAAACACAAACAAATTAACTAAGAAACACACAGCTACTGACAAGAAAACAATTGTTAAATCTTTGTAATTTAATGAGTTTAGGTTTAAACAACCGATCAACATCATGACACAGGGGTAGTAACCCATAAGTGCAGCATTATACTTCAAACTCAAGCCTGAAGGGTTCAAACATAAGGATTCAGCCAGTCAATTTACACTTTTTTTGTATCTGGGTCGTCGATAGTTTTTAGATATACAGACATTCATGTCAACTAAAAACAAAAATAGGCTATCTGATGCCTATGCATTTAAAACATGTTTTGTTTTTTAACACAGTATCCAAATGTTCTTCAGTGCCGTGATGCAATACTGTCTTATGATCTTTTCTTATTCATCTCCCTCTCTCTTCCCTTCCAACATTTTTGTTGTCATGGTGTGCTCCAGTTTTATACCTTTTTCAAGACATGACCAGATGATTAGATTGTTTCCTGATGATATAGGCAGACAGTTCTCTTTGTGACTTCGTTTCTTTCAGGTCATCTTCATTATTTTTTTTATTTTTTTATGATGTTGAATGTTGAAATAAGAATCGACACCATAGCACTCGGGTTACTCCCATAAGTGCTCAGTCCCAATCTTCAGCAGCAAGTGAAGAGTTCCAATTCCGATGATACCAGTAACCATCAGTATATCCGTCTCATCCCTCCCCTGAGTGTTGAGCGTCAGCTAGATCTCCTGGTAACTCCTTGCAGCACCATTCTCCTTAGACCATGATGATCTATCTGCTCCTCCACACTGTTTACTCGCTCCCAAACGGCCCTAACAATATCTAACTTGTCATACATCAATTCTCCAAGTGATGCAGAGCCAGCCACTCTATCTGATATAATAAAGCAATTTACTGTGAGTCCTATGTGACATATAAATAGCTTAACAGAATGATGATGGTGATGATTAATAGTTAACTGATCACCTTGCCTGTTTGAACATCACAGTTGGAAGACACTTTTTGTTGACATAGATTGTGATATCCCCTCTCTTGTCTTCACCCTGTAGTGGTAAAGGGGTTTTGCCCCCTGATGACCCCAAGAATTTTGCCAACTTCAGCTTAGTTCCTCATGTAAGACAAGTCAGAGGAAGGAATCAAAGAGATACACTACACACCTGTTGTTTTACAGCTAGATTGGGGACAGTCAGAAGTTAGGGAAAGCAAACCTGAAACATACTTGAGCAGACAGTGCAGTGTCTCACCTTATGATATCTCTCCAGGTAAATCTACACTGTGGAGCTGAGAATGCTTTGACAGGAGCCTCAGAACCAAGCAGATGTGAATACCAGTTTGAGTTCACCACCCCAGCTCGGTGCTCAGAGCCAGAGCCCACCCTGTCTTCTGACATCCATGAAGAACTTTGATTCTTTGTGCTCATCCATGTGTGCATTTCTGCTAGGTTTTGTTTCTTTGTTGTTGATTCGTTTCAGTTTACACCACCTAGCAAGAAACAAATTGTAACAATGTTTACCTGCTTGTTTGACACTGGTTTGTTCAAATTTTCATATTTTTAAACGTAAGTTTTTGTTGTTGTTGTTGCTGGTCAACTCTATGTTCTGATATTCAGAAAGAAATAACAATATTATAGCGGGGTTATTTCTGCTTGTGTGGAATGAATCACCAGAGACAAAGCTGCAGGATTTACTAGAAGAGGCAACATTAGAAATGATTTTATCTCTATTCCATGCATAGATTGCATTTATAGACAGCATGCAAAGTGGCTGGGGCACATTGATTAGATAGTTTAGTTGTATGATTGTAGACTGATTGAAGTTCATTCAGGTTCTATTACAATCAGGAAGCTTTTGCCAAGAATTAGAAGACCAAGAAGCAGATGACAGAGATAGGCTACACATACTCAACACTGTGCAACATATCTGGTTCAAGATTGAAATAGCTAATAGTCTCCATAAGTCAATGGATAAGAAATCCATGGACAGACCATCTCATTCTAGCCAGAACAGAGAGGAATTTGTTCCAGACAGAATAATTTATTTTGTGTAGATAGGGTAATAAACCAACTTGTTCTAGACTGAGTAGATAGTACAACTTGTTCTAACACTATTATTGCAGCTAGAGATTGGTATGTAAAAAGATTATTTGACAGCTTTAACATTCCAAGCACTCTTCTGTCTACTGTTATCTAAGACATGCTTCAATATCTTTCACCATTAGTATATTTTCTTGATGAGCTACTTTCTTGTGCTCCATGTCCACCCTGTGGTTCCACAGCAGCAGTAATCAATTTTAGCACTATTAATTCCTGCTCTCTCTTTCTCAGCCTTTGAAGTTGTTGAGACTCTGTCACCTCCTACACTCAGTATGATTCCTTTCTACAACTGTCTCATTCATTTTCATACAAGGAGTTTCCTGCTCACTTCTGGCTATTCTGCCCAGCACATGTTTGGTGTTCTTTTTCTGTGTCCTGAGAGTTTTGCAGTAACTGTAGTGTTAGACAGGGTTAGTACTTGACATATCCCCATAGAGAGTTTGTGCAATTTCTGGTTTTTTTTTTTTTTTTTTTTTTAGTATGGCCCTGCATGTTGTCTAATGTTATTTTTTTACACTAATAAAAAAAAAAAAACACTGAATATTGTGACTGTTATTGGCACTGATAGCATTGAGACTGTACTGACTGTTGAAGATGGGAACCTTATGGGAATGTCTTGAGTGCTTTGGTGTTATCTTTGAATGCAGCAAATGTGTTATTTGAGATGGGACCCTGATGTTGCCATGTGGATGTCTGCTACATCCTTTGTATGCTGACTGCATTTTCCTGTCTGCCCCCCTCCATCCATTTAATGACTATTGTTCAAATGTTTACAAATCTGTGGAAGTGACTAATGTTTCCAGTGATCTTATTTTGGCCTTCAGGATGTTCTCATATAAGGATATTAGGTTACTTAAAAATACACAATGTTTTGGTTAATAAATCTGAGTTTGATTTTTTTTCAATTTCTATTTTTTTAATGTCTTGATGTCTGTTCTGTTTGTTGATTCATATTGTGTATCTGTGATTTATGTTGGTAGCAGCAAGTATTTGTCAGATGTATATCTGTTATTTATGTTGGTAGCAGCAAGTATCCATCAGATATATATCTGTGATTTATGTTGGTAGCAGCAAGTATCCATCAGATATATATGTGTGATTTATGTTGGTAGCAGCAAGTATCCATCAGATATATATGTGTGATTTATGTTGGTAGCAGCAAGTATCCATCAGATATATATGTGTGATTTATGTTGGTAGCAGCAAGTATCCATCAGATATATATCTGTGATTTATTTTGGTAGCAGCAAGTATCCATCTGATATATATCTGTGATTTATTTTGGTAGCAGCATCTATCAGATATATATGTGTGATTTATGTTGGTAGCAGCGAGTATAAAATTAAAAATGTGAATTCAGATTTGTCATTCTGCATTTACTGTCTGATATGTGCTACATCAGTTCAACCATCTTTACTCTCCAGCACATTTCCTGGTACCCATTTCAGGCTTGATTGACCTGTATACCTCAGTGTAGATTTAAACTCAATACCTTTGGATTGGCAAGCAAGCATGTAGCCACTGCACAGCTATGACTTTACCTTGCCTACAAATATATGAATGCAGATTTGTCATCTTAAAAGGTTTAACAAGGAAGCTGAGATTATTGGGGGGATACAGTTTGAGAGAAATTACAGTTAGTTGCATATTTATTACTGGATGTTGCAAGCCGGTTTTCCTTTGTTTAGTGAGCAGTTGATGGCCTTACCATTGTTTAAATCAGCTTAAATCGCTATGCTGCCAACTTGCTTTGCTCCGGATTAAACTTGGTGTGTTAGAATGTGAAACCAAGTTTATAACCTTTAGGCTACAGACATTGACTTGAGTGAGACGCAGACATGCGTTATCAGTTGTTACTGCAATATCCCCGTGTGGATTCCTGGCTTTTTTTTTTTAAAAAAGAAAAAAAAAAGAATAGACCCCCTGCCCTCTCTAACAAGCATGTTGTTAGAGCCAATAATTTGGGTTTTGTTGAAATTGTTTGTATTGAGCCGACAGGCACAGTATCGCAGCCTAGCTGTAAACTACAACACAACATGCCAACCACCATTTTAAGGGCCAATGCAGAAGAAGACGTTTGTACAATAAAATGTCACCAAAATACAGTATAATGCTCAATGATGTTCAGATTATTTCTAATTATTTATTAATTTGATTTAACTAATACATAAAATCATCAAGTGCCTTGCCGACTGGTGTGGGCTTTCAGGCCTCTACCCAATCCACAAGTACATGTAACAGTTCGTGTATTGAAAATCTTCTTTGGCATGACAAAAGTCTGTCCAGAATCTGTCATGAATCTTCTTGCATTGTTTTCCTCTGTCTCTCCTTCCACCGATCTTTCCATTGTCAAAACATGTTCCAGTTTCCTTCTTCTCATAAACTTAACACATATAATAGATGAACACACACACACACACACACACATTATATATATATATATATATATATATATATATATATATAAATAGCATATATATATATATATTATATATACCATATACTCATATATTATATATATATATATATTTGAGCTCAATATACCCAAGACTTGTCTAGAAAGCAGCATTGTTTTTCACATGTTATTCTACCACATACTCATTGTTAAATATAACAATGTCCTAAAACAGTTTCTTTGTTCTGTAGCACAAATGGCCCACACATTTGTCTTCTGGTGGCATTGTTTGTCTTCTGGTGGCATTGTTTGTCTTCTGCTGGCATTGTTTGTCTTCTGGTGGCATTGTTTGTCTTCTGGTGGCATTGTTTGTCTTCTGGTGGCATTGTTTGTCTTCTGGTGGCATTGTTTGTCTTCTGGTGGCACTGTTTGTCTTCTGCTGGCATTGTTTGTCTTCTGCTGGCATTGTTTGTCTTCTGGTGGCATTGTTTGCAGCGTTGACAAACTTTGTATGTAACAGGAAAGTGGGGAAAAAAACCATCCATCCTCACAGCTGCATTAGGCACATTTTGTAATTGCTTTTTCCCCCCTGAGGGTAGAGGCTCTGTGTCAATGCTTGGTCGCCCATGCCTAATTCCACCAATTTTGATCAGTTGTGCTGATTTAACACATCCTTTTCTTTCATTCCCAAAAAATGCACACTCGAGGATATGACAACCAGGCATTTACGAGGGCCAAACTGAGAGTGCGCCAACAAATGACAATGTGATCTCCTTGATCTAATCCTCAGTGTATATTTTGACAGATAGCAACCCCAAAAGATCAACATCTCCCATTGTTTCATTATAGTCCTTGATTAGTGCTGGACGATTAACCTGCACATATTGCTTTTTTCCTGCATGGGTTGAAATAACTAATTGATCTAATTGTCTCCTCTGACGTCAGTTACTTACAGATGACCTGGTTGACCTTCTCGTTGGCATGACTAATCTCTAAAGTGTATAGAACAATGGCAGATCTAAAAATAAAAATTTTTTTTTAAATCTAACACTTCATAGGAGTATTCTTCAGGATGGGTCTTGCAAAGATGGCTGGTACAAGATGCTACTGGGAAACAGACACTCAAAATAGGCCTGTAGCGGATGTAATGACAAGGAATCGTTTCCATTGTCATATCAACGTACAGCCACAATATTCGATGAACGTTCTACACTGTGGTCTACTACACCACGACCACTGTTCTTCATTTCTTTCTCCATTTTCAATTTTGCGCCAGGTATGCGGTTAGGACGAACAGTGCCTGTATAATGCAGACCTTTTGACGGAAGAGAAGAAGCCAGTGGTAAACCTGAAAAAAAAGTTGTCTGCTGTAATCTTATAGATGAATGACAGTTTTCCGGGCTCATTTTCTGGCAGGGATTGGCATAATCGTAATACAACATCAACACCAAGAGAGCTTTTACTAAACCGATCTTTCTTTCCTTGATAGACTTCAAAGTCACCAAGAATACCACTAGGTGTAGTTCGGGCCCATACCTTGATTCCTCAAGGATGAGGTTTTCCTTTGACATATTGTTTGATTTTACTGAAATTACTCTTAAAGGGTGTCATCATTTCATCAATGCTGTTATGCTCCTCTGGGACAACTTTCAAGCAGTTTTTTTCCTAAACGTCTCCAACCATGGACTGATTTTCCATAACTTGTCCTTTTCCTTTTCTGTTGCTTGAACATTGTCAACAATATGAATAGTTGACAACAGCGTCTGGAAACGATTCCTTGTCATTACATCCGCTACAGGCCTATTTTTGAGTGTCTGTTTCCCAGTAGCATCTTGTACCAGCCATCTTCGCAAGACCCATCCAGAAGAATACTTCTATGAACTGTATGATTTTTTTAAAATTTGTATTTATAGATCTGCCATTGTTCAATACACTTTAGAGATTAGTCATGCCAATGAGAAGGTCAACCAGGTCATCTGTAAGTAACTGACGTCAGAGGAGACAACTCCATAATTTTTGGGCAACCCAAAATGTTTCCCCCCTAAATCAGAAGGGTCAAAGTGTTGCTGTCTCCAAATCTGTGCTGATCTCTTTGAAGAGTTTGGAGCAGGTGGCACAGACTCATCATCTGAAGATGAATGTCCTGAAGCCATATCCTGAAAAGCATCTTCAGCTTCAGATACAACATGACCATTTTCTTCTTCATCTATAGAATCACTCTCATTTGCATCAATGTTGTCTAAAATGTTTATAGCCTGCTGGACATTGAAACGAGGTATTTATCTTTTTTGAGATCCAATTCTGTGGAACACACACACACAAAAAACAACTTATTAGATATATAGGCTATCTTTCGAATAACGGGCACAAAAGATAGCGGCAGCAAAAACATCCTAACAGAGCCTCAGTCACGTATCAATTGCCCACTTCCGGCAACTTACTTAGCGGTTTTCCGGCGACTTCGCATCTCCTGCAGCTTTGCTCGTGAGTCCTAGCCGTCTAGTTTAGCCCCAATTCACGCCGCGTGAGCGGCGTGTGGACTCTTGGTAGTGGGGGTAGTCGCCGGAAAACCGCAAATTAAGTCTCCGGAAGTGCGCAATTGACATGTGACTGAGACCCTGTTTTTAGGCCGGCATCTTTTGTGCCCGTTATTCGGAGAATACCCGATAACATAAAGCTTTTAGGCAGGGGAAGGAAAGGGAACAAACCGCCCAGGAGTTACAGGCGACAGCTGACAAAGCGACTGACAGGTGTACATTAAATGAGTGCTGACGTCCACCTAGTGGAAGAATACGTCCTATCTTGTGGACATACTTAAAAAAAAAAAGTAAAAGTAGAGATTCTAAATAGTTGGGGGGGGGGGGGGATAGAAATCTACACATTAAGGAGACTCTTATAAATCTATACTGAAAGGAAAGTTGAGAAAAGCTAGTAATAGGTAGACTGTGATACAAGTGGGAAGGTTAAAAACCAAAAACTGGAGGATCAGCCGTCCCTCAGAGTGTATGTAGAGAGCTGTAGCCAACCTCTCCAAATTAGTCATCATCATATTTCAGCTTTCAAGAAAGGATGCTGTTTATAAGCCAATCTTCTTTGATGTTCAGATCTTTTGAGATGTCAATATTTCTCATCTTCTTTGTCCAAGATATTCTGATAATCTTTCTATAGCATTTCAGCTCAAAAGCCCCTATTCTCTTTCTTAAGGACTGAGAGATAGTCCACGACTCACATCCGTATGTAGCCACAGGGAAGATGCATGCTCTCAAAATTCAAATTTGTATCTCCTTGCTGGTGCTTAACCATAGACTTTTAAGGCTGTTTAATCTTTGCCTTCCATGATGAGTTTCTTGGGATAGTAACCACAAAAATAAGTCTTCTAAGAATGACTGCTGGGGCAAGACCATCTTCATCTGATGGGTTTGCTGCTGACGTCACCAAACTGGGCTAAGGATACTTTCACTCCGGCTGAGTGAGTGAGATTCAAATGGAGACGGTCTTGGCTGGAGTGAGAAGAAGATATACAAATCAGACAGTAGATCATAAGACGAAAAAAAAAAATCGGTTTTTAACGGATATTATTTTAAAGCAATAAAAATAAACAGACAGTTAATAAAATTTCCCGTTGAGAAAATTTCATGTGATTTTTAAACCAGAGAATTATATGCCAGTATCATTGTTTGTGATCGAAGTTTCTAGAAGGGCGAGATTTAGAATTTCTCCCACTAGAAACTCAAAGCGATAAAAGTGTAACTAAAGAAACATCTTCCCTGTAAAGTGGCATCCAAATGATTTATAGTACGTGTATGCATGATTCAATCCACACATGGTATGCCAGGAATATAGGTTGGTGGGCATATTATTAAGAAAGTCAAATAAAAAGGCTTTGTTTGAACAGCAGAAACATTGAAGTAATGGTACTTAAGAAGGAAAAAGAGCCTTCAGAAATGCAACATCAAAGTAAATGGTACCACCATCAAGCAAGTTGATACGTTTGAGTACTTGCTAACTGTTAACACTAGGTGGAAGATGTATTCAAGACGTAAAATGTAGAATAGCTCAAGCAAAGGCAGCATTTTACAAAATGAAAAATGTTCTATGAAATCTGTCTTTGCCAATTCAGATGAGAAAGAGTATACGTAAAAGCTATATAAATCCTATCAAGATAGACGGAGGTGAATCAATGACAGTTAGTAGATAGTGAAACATTATTCAAAAGTTGCGGGTTTGTGGTTTTATTGACGAATAATGATAGTTCCCCAGACAGATAAAAAAAAAAAGTAATGAAGACGTCTTGAAAGAAACGGATTCATGAAGAGAACTGATTGCCCACATCAGAAGGAGACAATCTACATTCTTCGGTCATGTCATGAGAAGAAAAAACTGGAGTACATCTTGACAGTGGGTAGGAGAGGCAAGGGAGGTTGAGAGAGAAGACTTTAGACAGTTTAAAATGATGGCATAGAAGATCATCAGTGACATAAGTGATTGCAAGTATTAGAGACAGAAGACAGTGGGTAGGCGTGACTACCTATGCTACATAGCATGGAATTTAAGAAGTATTTGTAAACTAGCGTCTCTTAGACATCCGCTACCTTGTTGTATATTGAGTACATTAAGAAGTGTAGCAGCCTGGCAAGCTGACCACAACCTTCCCTCCAAAATTGACAAATGAAACACTTTATGACCGTTTGGTTTCGACTATTTTTTTTTTTTTTTTAATAGCGGAAATTACGCTTTATTTTTTTTATACAATGCATTACGGAAGAATGTCAAGTATTTCTGCTATTTTAGTTTATTTGTTTCAACAAATCCCCATCCTGTTACTTATTTTTGCATTCGAATGATTAATAAAATGCACCTGACATTTAAATTGAAAAAGCAGGCTGATAACTCCATAGACTAAAGTATTCACCGTTTAGCAGGTTATTTCCCTTAGTAATAAATGCAGGGAGATAGGCATGAAAAATAAATTAGCAGAAACAAAAGCTCGGTGCTACATTATTGATTTGAAGCATTCCCAGTAGCTTGTCCTCTTCTTTAGTAATTGCTTTCCCAGGGAATGCACTCTGAATGATTGACGCCTAGAGCTCAAATGGCCACTCATCACTCAGTAGGACCTTTACAGAGCACCCTCCTATCACGTCCTTCGTGAAAGAAACTCGATTACGATACGCAGTCCCAATACTGGATGCAACTTTTAGTTTTTTTTAAAACCCCACTCCGGCTGAGTGAGTAAGATTCAACCTCATCAAGACATCCACCAAGCGATAAACACCGGATGACACAAAGTGCCACCATACGGATGAGAATAATCCCTGATAGGTCTTAAAAAAAACTTTGTTCAACCCATAGGTTGATTTATGTTAAGGCCTCCGGCAAATGCCAGCGCGTGGCTTGTTAAATGTTGAATTGAGAATCGATATCACAGCACTTGGAATACTCCCAAAAGTGCTCAGTCCCCATCTTCAGAAGCAAACGAAGAGTTCAAATTCCGATGGTGCCAGTAAATGTCTGATTGTATATCCGTCTCATCCTTCTCCTGAGTGTTGAGCATCGGTCAGATCCCCTAGTAACTCCTCGCAGCGCCATTCTCCTTAGACCGTAAAGATCTATCTCCACCTCCGCACTGTTTACTCACTTCCAAAGGGCCCTCACAAAATATCTAACTTCTACATCAATTTACCACCAAATGGCACAGAGTCATTCAGTCTATCTGCCTGCTCATGTCCCAACACACAGTCATTACCTGGAAAAAATATCCAAAGGAAGCTAACTACCTGAGACCTCTGAAGTGATGCTTGCCACTCTGCACGAAGTATGCTTGTTTTTACCTATCTCACCACGTTCTGCGAGCCAGTTACAATCACGGCATGTGCGTACAGATGATTCTTAAGCCAGCAGAAGGCAGTAGAGACTGCCTCCACCTCCATTCTCAAACTAGACGTTGTGATATAGTATACAAGGTTTTGCTGCACTAGACGACGTCCATTCGCCTTTGCTATGAAACTCCATGCACCTCGTCTGCCCCTCAACACAGAGCTCTCTCTCTCTCTCTCTCTCTCTCTCTCTCTCTCTCTCTCTCTCTCTCCTCTCTCTCTCTCCTTCCCTGTGTGTGTGTGTGTGTGTGTGTGTGTGTGTCTATATATCTCTGCCACCTGAACTGACCTAGTTGAACATAGGGAATTAATCAGAAATAAAGAGAGGTAACATATATAATCAGGGCTATTCTACTAAGTTTTCCTCAGGAGCCAAACTTGAAAAAATCGGAGTCGCCACGGACCAGATGCCCAGTCAAAACATAGAAAGATGGCTAATAACAAGCTAACCAATTCAACTTTGCTATACGCTTATCATTGTTCGGCCATGTTATCAGAAGCGGGAAAATGAAACATGTGGTGACCACTGGAAAGATCTGTGGAAGGAGGGATAGAGGAAGACAACGAGAGAAGGTTCTTGACAGTC